GGGGTCTGTGCTGGGATACATCGTGGAGTGCTTGCCAAGCACGGCGAGGCCCTGGGTTTGATCCCCAGCACCACAAAAAGGAGAAAAAAAAATTGAAAACAGATTCTATGATAAATATAAAAGCCCGATCTGTTCTTCACTAGCAGCAGCTCTGAGGGCAGCTTCCTGCAGCCCATCTCATGGTGGACTGCTCACGTACTCGTCTCTTCTTAGTGACCAAACCCCCATTCCATGTGATGCGCCAATCTGATGTTCTTGGTTGTCTTTGCACCAATGTGTGAACACATAACTGAACAGGACAGGAYGTGAGAGCAAGTGTCAGCACACCCTCTAGGAAGCCCTCAAAACAATGTTGGCATTTTCCCTTTCCTTTCCTCCAGCTCCTTCCTGCAACTCACAGTACAGACRCCGCTGTGGAGCTGAGCCATCTTCTTGGAACAGGACTTCGAGGAGCTCGTCCTCAGGGCCTTTAGGGGATGGCAGGAGCCTCCGTTCTTATTGACTGTGATGTCTGCAGCAGAGATGGTTCTAGACAGCCTCTGGCTTCCTTTCTCACGGGAATGTAAACTGGGTGTTCTGGCCACTGTGGTGTATTGCCTTATTAAGCAGTAAGTGGTGCTGGGTGATTTTATTAGAAATAAATGTGATAAATGGCTTCTCTACATCTACTGAGAGGACTGAGGAGTTCTGAGCTATTAATGTAGTTGATGGCATTCCCAGAAATGCTTTGTGCAGTGTATTCTTTCACTATACTGCTGGCTCCAAAGCAGTATTTTAGCTAAAACGTCCCGCTCTTCTGCCTGTGTATAATCCCAGCAGCTCRGGAGGCTGAGGCAGGAAGATTGCAAGTTCAATGCCAGCTTCAGCAATTTAACAAGACCCTGTCTCAAAGAATAAAAGGGACCTGGGGATGTGGTTCAGAGGTTAAGGGACCCTAGGTTCAACCCCCCATGCCAAAAACAAGCAAGCAAGTAACAACTGATCCRTCCACTACCTGTTCCAGATTTTGGTGTCAAGGTTTTAAATTTCAGGACGTTTACAAATTTGCTAAATAAATTCTCAATTTGTACCTCAYTGAAAATATTTTTGTAATTTACAGTGACTTTGGCTTAAAATAAAAAGGACTGCATTATGCTTTTTAATTTCAAGAAATCCTTTTCCCTAGGTCACATGGCTAGTGAGAGCATCAGGGAAGCCCCTGGACTGCAGGAAGGGTTAACAGTCATTCCAAGCTGCTGGGGCTTCTGACCTCCACATTTGGGTCTGTCTCTGGGCCTGTATTCTGAGGTGTTATTTCAACTTCTAAAATTCTAAGTGGGATGAAGGAAGTGAAGTACATGTTCCTCTCAAGACGGAAAGTCAAAGGAGAAAGTCCATGCTTTCCAAAATGCCACCTTTCTAAGAACGAACATGGTTGGCTGCAGTCATGGCTGAGGTAGAGCACTCGCCTAGCATGCGTGAGACACTTGGTTCCATCCTCAGCACCACATAATGAATGGACATGGGATAACTGGCAATGTGTTGGACGAATGGCACGAGAAGCCTGAATTCTCAAACTCTGGACCTTGAGTACCTGAGTTAGGAAACCAAAGGCTTGGCTCATCTGAGGATGATGCCTGTGCTGTCCTACCTGGCCACACCCTGCTCTAGGTGAAAATCATCAGGCTGAAAAGAAACGCACAGCAAGCATTCCAGAATTCTCTTAGTTTAAAACAAAAGCAACAACAACAACAACAACAACAAAAATCACCTGGTTGATAGAATTCATACTTCTGGGGCTGGGTAACTAATTCTTCATTGAATATACTTAAGAAACTTGGAACTAACATTGTAGTAGTTAAGTACGATTTGTATTTTAGATATTACCTTTGCTATCTACCTTTAATATTTGCCATTTCAATTAGTGCTATTTTATCTTAAATGGGTAATAATCATTTCCTTTTGGTTATCATTTATACTTTTATTTCTGGGCAGGGGTACCCAGGATTGAACCCAGGAGCACTCACCTACTGAGCCACATCCCCATATTTTTAAGGATTTTATTTAGAGACACAGTTGCTTAGGGCCTTGCTAATTTGCTGAGTCTAGCTTTGAACTTTCAATCCTCCTGCCTCAGCCTGCCGAGCCACTGGGATTACAAGCATGCACCACCCTCCTGTTTTCAATTTACTATCTATACCTCCCATTTATGTTCAAAGAGTGGCAGAGAAGGTGTGTGTGTGGGGGGGGGTGGAACCCAGGGCCTCACACATGCCAGGATAGTTGTTCTATTCCTGAGCCCCAGCCCCAGAGTAGCATTTTAGAATAGCATTTTGGCTGAGTCTTAAGTTCAGTGAAGGGATACAGGAAGAGGAATGAACTGCATATATAGTCAAAAAGATAAGAAAAAACATTTACCAAAGAGCTTGAACAACTTTATTGTTGCGGGGCCATGTGGGCTCTATTCTTGGCAGGTGATGACAGGAGAGTAGGGAGCAAACTTGCAGAAGGGCACTGGACGCCAACACAAGCAACCTGGATTGTTCCTACCCACCTACAGGCATTAGGAAGCCATTCAGAATTTTTCAGCCTAAGATCAAGTGCTCTGATTTGCTAGAGAATTCTGGTGGTGGCAAGTATGAATCACAACTGGGAGGCTACTGCAGTATCAAAACAAAACAAGAAAAAGCCAAATTAAGGCATGGAAATGTGAATGTAGGGGAAACAGACTACATGGGACAAAACCAAGTGGATGTACGTGAAGCACAAATGGAGGACCCAGGAAGTCTCAGACAGGTGCCTTCGGGTCAAAGAGCACGTAAGGAAACAGGGAGAGAAGGAGGGGTTCTGTTCTAAGCAAGAGGGGGGCCTCCGGCGGAACCTCACCTGACAGTCAAATCGGATCTGATGTCAGCAGGGAGAGGGAGCTTGAGATGAGGGTTAGGATCCACCTAGTGGTCTAGGGGGGCTTGGTTGCCAGGCTCAGTGTGTGGACTCAGAAAAGTCCGAAGGACCAGCCCTGGGAAAGCACATTAAAGGGGCAGAGGTAGGTCAAGAAATAAAGGTAAGCAGGATTCCAGACAGATGAGGACAGGAGACAGCACTGGCCATCAGTGCCAGTTCTCCAGCTGACACAGGTAAACTCGTCTCTCTCCGGAGGACCAGAAGATCCAGAAGTCCCTGCTCCATCCGCAGTGCCCACAGCAGTGCTGGCTACGACAGCCGCTGGTGGGTGAGGGAACGAGAGGGTGCAGGCCGGGCTCTACGCACTCACTGAATTTGGTGATTAGAGGAACTCATGGCATGAACCAGGGACCCTCCCAGGACAGCCACCTTCTTCCTCTCTTCCTATCCATCCTCTCTCCAAGTCTACCTATGCAGAGTACCATTTCTCCTGGAAAAGAGAAGGATCTTCAGGGATGCACATGAGTTCATCTCTAAACTACAGGATAAAAAGCCTGTCTTCTCATGTGCAGTCTCATTCACCCATATGGACTAAGTTCTTCACAGGCAGACACCGTCGTCCTGATGGGCACCCTTTAAAAACTTTATGTGATAGCTTTTCTGTAAGACACTGGAACGTGAAAATAATTTTGGGGTTAMGATTAGTCTCATATGAATTATGCCAAATGAAGAAATCTCCCCCTCATTTATCTGTCTTATGAGTTTGCAAATTTGCTTAAAAATGAGCATCCCTTGAGGATCTTTACAGCTGCCATTTCCGCCAATTAATGTTGGCAGATTTCCAACTATATGCAGACATCAAGACCAGATCTCATGATTAAAAGCTCCAAACAGCCTTGCAGGTTCCTAGGTTGACTGCCACCCAGAAGGGCGCGTCTTGGCCCTCCCAGCCCTTCACTGGTACATCTCAGCCAGGCTCAGGCACCTTTTCCCAGAGTCTAGCTGAGCAGGACTTGTTAAATATGCACATCAAAGATCAGAGCAAACAGTAGATGCTCACTAAGGATCACCTGACTATATGCTTGAATTTCTCCTTCAGCTTATAAATGGAACAGATCTCTAGCTCTGCTCAGATCTTCAGGGTTTTGTCTTCGTGGGGTCTCTGGCTCTCCATCCTTCATGTTCTCCTTACTTCAACAGGAAGCCGGTTCCCTTCCAGCCCCTCAGCTCTAAACGCAACTGGCTCTGCGACTCCTACTTCCTCAACTTCCCGCAAGGCAGAATGGCCACTCAAGATTTATTCAATGCCTTTCATTCCTAAGCTCTTTCCATGTCTATCTGCATCACAGTCCACCATCTTGGATTGTGAAGCCGACAGGAAAGGGCTGGCCACTAACTATATGATTTATGACTAACCTGGTGTCACAATCAAAGAGCTCAGAGGAGATGCTTATGGAGAAAGAGGATGAGGATGGAGATGAGGGTCCTGAGTAAGGGCCCAGACAGGCTGCCCAACCCATGGAACCTAAGGCCTGGGGTCTGCTTTCCCTCTGCCTCAGAGGGTCCATCTAAGGGCKATTCTAAGGCACAGTGGTGAAGGACATGATTGGCCCACCAGGTGTGGTCTTCTGGTCTCACGGCAGCCCCTCGCTGGAAACAGTGCAACAAGCATTCCATTTCAGAGATCTTCCCAAACACATGCAAGCAGCATTCTCGAATGAAATGGAGACAAGGTCTTTCTTGGAAGAGTAGTGTCCCCAGAAGACACTCTTTGCCCCAAGACCAACCAGGTCCCTTTTAAGGTCCCTGAGAACAGCAGTCTGGGAGCAACCAAGACTTTCAAAGGCTGACAAGGCACAGAGTGGATGAATGAAAAGATAACATACATGAAAAAAACTTTGGCTTATAAAACCTCCAACCTGAGGCAGGGACATCGGTGTCCGGGACATCGGTGTCCACGACATGCAGAAACAGATGACTGCAGCAGAGATGGTCTTCAGAAATGCCCGGCAGCTTCCACACTGCCACCCCCAGCCCCGCTCTTCCCTCCCCCCAGCCCCCGACAGCAYACACACAGTCTCTGCAGAATAGGTCAGAGGTTGGCATTCAGAGCCTGTGTCAGGAGACAGTTTTTGGCACTCTGCACTAAATCACGTGACTAGTTCCAACTAGACAGTGAGAGGAACGTGGCCCAAGCKTGACTTGAAGGGTCTGTCTCACGAAAAATTATGCTGCTCCCAAGACGGCCAGGTCTGGAAAGTCCTTCACTTCTCCTACTTCACTGAAAGGCTGCCCACCCTGGTTGAATGTCAGTTTATACCGTAACCGGATAGGTTCCTGGGAGGTGAGAGATACAAGACATTCAGTTAGACGGGAGCAACCCCGAGGCCAGCCAGAGCAAATGTCTCCAAGGAATGGCATTTATGTTAATTTCCCCCAAATGAGGGCTTCAAACAACTACTTGACAGACACCTGGCCTGCCTTCTTTGGGGCTCCAAMAGGGGAGCCAGACATGTATTCTGGGAGCCCTTCCACACTTCCACAATCCTGAAGTGGACTGCAGTTCAGAGACTACTAAGGAAGAAGGCTTCACCCTTCAGGACTCCACGATATTAGAGGGAGCTCCTTGCTTGGTTCCCAGAATAACAGACCTGCTTTAAATAAGTCCCTAAGAAAATCACCAGCAAGGGATGTCCCACCAACGCCCCACTCCTGCKCCAACCAGAGGCTTCAGAGCAAGCCGCAGCGTGCCTCTCCCCTGCGGTTTCCTCCCTACAGTCCAGGAGCCCGTTTCCCTGCTCCCCAAGGACATCAGCACTCACTTTGTGAGGATTGTCGAGCAGCAGCATCTGAGAGATCACAGCTGGAGGCACCAAAGGACTGAACGCAGGAAGCTTGGAGCTGGAGGCCGGCTGCAGCTTCACTCTCATTGACTATCAGGGAAAYAGCACATAAAACATTCCTACCGAGYCCCGGGCTCAGGGAGGAAATCAGGGCAACAGGAACCGGAACTCCACACCACCCATCCAGAAGAACTGGCTTCTTAGGAAATGTGGTATCTCAGTTCCCACTACCTGATGAAAGGACCCAAAGCCTTTCCTTCCACCCAAAATATATCTGAAGGGGTGTGGTCAGTGGCAGGCAGCATGAAGAGCTGCGTCACATCTTGGGTACAATTTGGGTACAATTCTCACTCTGCCTCTTACTAGCTCTGTGACATCAGGCAAAAACTCCTAAGTCTTCCGTTGATGGTTTATAAGATGAGAGCTGATAACAGTCCTTAGAGAACACCTTGAGGACAAAACACTTCACGGAGTCATGTGCTGCTGCCTTGAATCTTTTCCTTTCGGGAGATGCCCCTTCCCCTGTGATTAGGGTGTGGGTATTAATCAGTGGGGCCCTACTTCCCTTAAAAAGAGTGGGCATATTATCCCAACTTGGCCAAAGAGTTCATCTCCCTGGACACAAGTTACTGGTCAAAGGTGTGCAAGTAACCCCAGCAAGGCCCAGCAGAGCCCTTCCTGGGGCAGTCGATATGCACACCTCAGGCCACAGGAGCTTCTTTTCTTTTTTTAAAGAGATAGTGTCTCATTATATTGCCCAGGCTATACAAACTCCGGGTTCAAGCGATCTTCCTACCTTAGCCACCTGAGTGTATTCTGGTTCAGTATAGCCCCAAACCAAGAGATTCTTAAGCAATCATTTAAAAACCCACCTGGATTGATTCAGGTGAAGTGAGATATATTCAGGAACCCCCAGTTAAGGGAGCCAATAAAATCCCCATTCTATATAATGCTAAGTGAAGTAAGCCAATCCCAAAAAACCAAAGGCAGAATGTTTTCTTTGATATGAAGATGCTGACTCATAATGTCGATGGGTGGGGAGCATGGGAGGAATGGAGGGCAAAGGGGGGAGAGGGGAAAGGAAGGGGCGAGGGGTTAGGGATGACGGTGGAAAGAGTTAGACATCATCACCCTAAGTACATGTATGAAGACACCAATGGAGCGAAAATACTTTGTGTACAATCAGTTACTTGAAAAATTGTGCTCTAGATGTGTAATATGAAATGAATTGCATTCTGCTGTCATGTATAACAAATTAGAATAAATAATTTAATTTTTAAAAATAAATAAATAAAATCCCCATTCTATCATCAACTAGTCTGAGAGAGAGAGTTCTATCTCTTACACCTAACAATGTCCCATAAAGGATCTGGTGCTCATTCCTGAACAATTCAAAGAAGCTGGCCAGTAGCGGACGACTTACCTTTGGCACAGCCACTTGAAACATGATGTCCCAGACTGGCTGGGTAGCAGTGCTCATCATGGTCAGCAGTAACACCTGCACCTCTGGGTGGCCAGGGGCCCCCGTCTGGGAGAAGTGGAGCAGAATTCTGAATCCGTTCCGGTCATACACGATAAYAGGAGGCAGGCTGCCTGGGAGAGAGGGACCACCAGGAGGGTTAGTACTGCCACCAACTGCCACGAAAGCCAGGCCTCAGAGACATGTGTCCCGAGTGCTGCTGCTCCTCCAGCTCTTGGACTTCACCGCTCTGCACCACCGTAAGCCAAGACCTCCTGTGTCTCCTATGGTCCTCCAAACTGACCTCTCTCCACAACCAACCATCCTAAGCATATTATCAGCTTTTTAAAAGACAACATCTTTTAAGGGAGATAAAAATAAAGTGTGAACACTGTGGAAAATACAGAATACTATAAGATTTTTTTATTATTATCACTATTGATTCTACCCAGAAATAAACAGCCCAAACACTTAGGCTTATTTCTTTCTGGTCTCTTTCATGACTACATACACACAGCCACATCCACCTGAACATTCAATTTTACAAAACCGTAAAGACAATAAATCTGAAATAGGCTTAATGAAATTCCAAGAGAAATCCCAAAGAGATTGTTTTAATTTAAGTAACAGTGGATTCTAATCCTAATTTGGGGGGAAAAAAACATGCAACAAACCGACAGACAAAAAAAAAAAAAAAAAAAGATGGGCAGGGCTATTTATGTTGGTCAATATTTAGAGGAAAACTGCACATCAAGTAAAGTGGAATAAATCAGAGCATGCAGAACAAACCCAAACACAAGCATTTAACAAGAATGACTATTTCAAAAATCAGTAGCTAATTTGATAAAGGGTATTCAGCTGACCTCTAAGCACCTGGGGAAATTTTTAACGAAGATCCTTATGCCAAATGTCACTTATCAAAATGGGCATCATAAAGATGTGGTTTTATACAACTGCCAAAGATTTAAAAGACTAAAAACATAAGTGAAGTGTGTGCTGAGAGTAYGGGGAAAGGCAACCTTTTTGGAAGGGAAACTGATAATGCAGATCAAAAACTTAAAATCGACACCCAGCATTTCCCCACATTCAGGAATATGCTTGATAACCGGAGACCACGGGGAAAGGCCACCCACTGTTTTTAACAACAAACAAGGTCAGCTTTCACAAAGGCACCGGGCCCAAACACACTTCTGCAATCTCAGCGACCAGGACACTCAGGCAGGAGGATCACCAGTTTGAGGCTGGTCTGGGCAACTCAGTGAGGCCCTATTTCAAAATAAAACAAAACTGGGCTGGTGGCAGAGCGCTTGTCTCACATGTGCTAGCCACTGGGTACAATCCCTAGTATCACTAAAAATGAATCACGGCACATCTATTTAATGATATAATATATGGAGCTATTAAAAATCMAGGWYTKGGGGCTGGGGATGTGGCTCAAGCGGTAGCGCGCTCGCCTGGCATGCGTGCGGCCCGGGTTCGATCCTCAGTACCACATACAAACAAATATGTTGTGTCCGCCGAGAACTAAAAAATAAATATAAAAAAATAATGATAATAAAAAAATAAAAATCAAAGTTTTGAAGAACAATTAAGGGCATAAAAAATGCTATGAGCTTATAATGTAATAATAAATAAAACCAGACATCAAAATAGTCTATACATACTGTGATGTCAATTTATTAAGAAGAACATGTCCATACATATGGGCATGAGGCCCTGGGTTCAGTATCCACCACAGAAAAAAAAGGATATTAATAAAATTTCCATCTCAGCCCAGCTGGTAATGATTTAGATGATGATACTTTTCTGCTCTGTCTTTTCTAAAACTCTACAGTGAACATGTTTTCTTGCTTTTAACTTTTTGTTTAACTTTGTTTTGTGCCAAGTGTGATGGCACATGCCTGTAATTCCACAGACTGGCTCGGGAATTCAGCAAGACCCTGTCTCAAAATAGAAAAGGAGAAAGGACCAGGCACAGTGGTGTACACCCGTAATCCCAGCAACTTGGGAAGCTGACACAGAAGGATCATGGATTCAAATCCAGCAACTCAATGAGACCCTGTCTCTAAGTAAAATACAAAACAGGCCTGGGGATGTGGCGCTGTGGTTTAGTGCCCCTGAGTTCAATCCTCAGTACCCAATCCCTCAAAAAAAAAAAAAAAAAAAAAAGGAGGGGTTATATACCCAGTGGATATTACTCAGCCACAAAGAAAAATGAATTTATGGCATTTGCTGGTAAATGGATGGAACTAGAGACTATCACGCTAGGTGAAATAATCCAATCCCCAAAAGCTAAAGGCTGAATGTTCTCTCTGATATGCAGATGCTAACACACAAAAATGGCAGGGGGCGGGGTGGGGGGTAGAAGTTCACTGAATCAGACAAAGGGAATGAAGCGAAAAGAGGGTAATAGGAATGGGGAAAGATAGCAGAATGAGTCGGACATGACTTTCCTGTGTCCATATATGATACACAATGAGGGTAACTCCATAGCATGTACAACACAAAAATGGAAAGTTATACTCCATGTACGTATAACAAGTCAAAATACATTCTACAGTTACATAGAACTAAAAAGGGAAAGAATAAAACTGCACTTACTGGGCTTCACAGACTCCAAAGGGACAAACACTTGAGCCAGAGGTGTGTTCTGGGAAGCCGGGGAAGGAGCCAAAGGGCCAGCCTCCCAGGACCAACCTGGAGAGGACTTAGTACCTGGTGGCACTTCCTTGGGGATACTTTTCTGTGGGACATAATTCCTACAAAGAAATAAAAATATATCAAAGACAAACAATAACTATATAGAGAATTCCAGGAATCTGTGATTTGATTTTCTGAAGAGCAAGATGAGGAAGTGAATACACACACACACACACACACACACACACACACACACACACTTATCCACAGAATGTCCACGCAAGGCGGGTGACTAACATCCACACAATGAATTCTAACATAGCCCCTAAAGGGGATGAGGCAAATACATGCAAACTGGCCAAGACGGGCAAAAATAAGCCACAATAATGTACTGCCACATGTAAAGGAAAAAGCCAAGACTTTCCATGTTTTCATACAGTGGTTTTAGGGCCTCCTGTCATAAGTCTCTAGTGACTGAGTTTTGCATGACTTAAAATTACATGACAATTGAGAAAAATCAGGAAGAAAACTTCAAAATCATCAATTTGCCAGATCTTAAAAACAAAAACAAAACCACAGCACCCTTCATTGATGTCTTGGCAGGAGGGTACTTAGGACAAGGAGCAGCAGGGACGGGGAACGCAGCACATGCAGTCTCAGCAGGAGGACACCCCTCCAGGGAGAGGCCCTGCTGCTCAGATGCCATGGGGAGCTGTCAGGAGCCAGACCCTCTGCTTCTCTGGGCAGAAGACTCACAGAGGACCGGGAGACGGCTGTGGTGAGAGCAGATCCAGCAAGTTCCTGTCTGCGGAAGGGCTCTGGACTCCGCCACCTGGCGGTGTGTTGGCAGCAAGGTTCTTCTTTTCCTTGCAGCAGTTCTGACTGGCGACCTGCAGATGGACGATGGCTAAAATAAGGCTAGGGGGGTGAAGGACCATCAGCCATGGTGGGACTGTGGCCCCTTAGAGCTGCTGAAGCCTGGGCTTAGGACGTGTCCTTAGGAGGAGAAAGACAGACAGGCAGGAGAGCACAGGACCCCCGAGCAGATCTTCAGGAAGCAGGAGACTATACCACACAAGACGGGCTAAAGGTGGAGAGGTAAAGATGTCCGTCCTGGGGACCTGAGCCAGCGAGGTGCATGAGGAGGAGCACTGACCCCCATGTCCTCTAGGACTGTGCAGTAACCCCTCCCTACAAGGCCCTGCTGCCTCAGAAGGCAGGCTGGCCACCCCCTCCTCTGCCCGGGCCGTAGCAGGAGCTTCCTTACCTTGTTCATAACAGGAGCATCACTGATCCCTGTAAGAGAGGAAGACAGACGCACAACCGTCACTCCACCAGATTCCAGCCGGAGGTCAGTGGCACACCCCTCTCTAGGACCTCTGGAAACAACTTACACAGGGTCATTCAACTCACCCACGGCACAACTGCAAAGAGACCTCTCTGAGCTGCCTAGTAAAACTGACTCACTCAAAAGCAGGCCTACGCACCCTGAGGAAACCACTACCCGCTCCCTCTCCTCAGGTCCATTCTGTGCCTGAGCCCCACCAACACCCACACGAACCTAAGGCTTCCAGGTCCTGATGAAGCAAAGACTGTTCAGACCCACTGTCCACCTCCAAGTCAATCAGGGGGCAGTTCTTCATGCAGCCTGCTGGGTTCTGAAAGACTAGAAAAGAGACAGGGTCAGAGAATAACGAAAAGATATCAGACAGCAGTCTCCAATCAAGGGTTGGGGGTGTAAGTAAGTGGTAGAGCACTTGCCTAGCACGTGTGAGGCCCTGAGTTTGATTCCCAGTGCGCGCGCGCGCACACACACACACACACACAAAATCTCAACTCAAGTCAGCATCCCTCAGGCCTCCTCCTAATCAAAAGACCCTGTCCCCTCAACCCTCAACACACCCCAGAGCCACCTTCCACATCAGCTGGGGTCCTGACACACAATCTGAGCTGAGGTCTATACTATGGAGCAGCCAGAGGCCTGCTGCTCACACCAGAGATCAGTCTCCTCCAGAGGTCCCCTCAGTCTGGGCGGCAGCAACTTGGGCTTCTTCAGCTCAGAGGTCTTGGGAGGTTTCTGACCCCGGATGATCACAGCCACCTGTCATGCTTGATTAACACAGATACTGAGGGGTTCAGCAGCTGAGTGYTCCAGGAGATTCGGACACAGCTAGCCTCCGGCACTAGGAACCACTGAGGAAGACCATTCTTTTGGTCTCTAGCTCCCGTCATTCAGGAGGATTCAAACCCAGGCACCACACAGCCTTCGGCTTCCACAGGGTCCAGCCTGGCCGTCGGTTCACAACGGCTCCTGTGGTAGAAGCTGGCCATGTGAAACGCGTTCTCGCAGGAAAAGAGAACAGATTCAATCCTCTCATTTCTGTGCCATACTCCACAATACTCTTAGGGTCCATTTCCTTTAYGGGATTTGTAGACTGCCCCAAGCTAGAAGGCGGGAAGAGCTCATGGTACACACCTCTAGAGACAGGCACGTCTCCCACTGAGCTGGGCACTGTGTTCCCAAAGGTGACACGGCCCTCCATCACCTGTTTGTACAGCAGAACTCCCTGGGTGAGGAGGTCATTTGCCTGGAGGATCTCCGCTGCAGAGGAAACGAGAATCAGAACCCTGTGTAGCTACTGACCACCTCAGCCCTCTCTACGCCACTGCACAAGGCAGCCCTCTGGGGTTCAGCACATCCACACCCTCTGTGCTCAGGCCTGGGCATGAGGCCCTATCAGACCTCCTTGCTGAACCCCTCGGTCCTAATACTTTTTTTTTTCTTCTTTTTTGGGTACTAGGGATTGAATTCAAGATGTTCTACCCTTAAGCTACAACCCAGTCCTTGCTGGCCTCAAACATGGGGCCCTCCTCCTGTCTTACCTGTTGAGTCTCTGCAATCACAGGCATGTGCCACGGTGCCTGGCAGCCCTAATACTCTTTCTCTCTCTCTCTCTCTTTTTAATATTATATATATTATATATATATTTATATATATATATTTAATATATATATATATATATATATATATATAGTTGTAGAATTTATTGTCAAATAAATACCTTTATTTGTCTCATACGGTGTTAAGGATCAAAACCAGTGCCTCACACGTGCGAGGCAAGTGCTCCATCCCTGAGCCACATTCCCAGTCCTCCTAATACTCTAAGTTCCCACTGCAGTAGGAAATGAAACTTTTCACCATGTCTACACTGTCTGCCATAAGAGCTGACGGTAAGCACTGGAAATATGGTTCATTGAGAAACTAAAACTTTCAACTTTAATTTTATTAAACAAAAACTAACATGAAACTTTAGTCAATGTGGACACAAATATTTAAAAAATTTCTTATYACTTTATTCAGTTATTGGAGAGAATTTTTAGAAATGAGCCAGGAACAGTGGCTGAGACAGGAGGACCACAAGTTCGAGGCTAGCCTGGGCARCTTAGCAAGATGTGTCTCAAAGTAAAGTAAGAAAAAGGACTGGATGTRTTGCTCACTGGTAGAGCATTTGGCTAGCATGAGTGAAGCCCTTGGGTTAAATCACCAACACCACAAAAAAAGGGAAGAAGGAGAAATAAAGTGTTTAGAGAACAAATTGGCATGTGAATTAGGATTTTTTTTAATTTTTATTTTTTAGTTGTTAATGGACCTTTATTTGTATGAGGTGCTGAGAATCAAACCCAGTGCCTGACACATGCGAGGTAAGTGCTCTACCACTGAGCCACAACCCCAGCCTTATGAATTAGTTTTTAAGCCTACATATTTTATAAAATTGCAAATGTAGATCCAGCATTTCCAAAGAAATGAAGCATCCAAACTGAAACTTACAGAATAAAATACACACTGGATTCCAAAACTGCATTAAGCCATGGTTAGTACCTACAAGCACGTCTAGTAGACACAGAATGGCAAGAGGACCAGGGCGATGTACAATAACTACCACAGGTCAAAGTGCTGGAAGATTACTTCTCAAGAGGGACCAACTGCTTAGTTCCCTCAAATTTTCTGGCTGTGAATGGAGGTTGCAAATCAACAGCAAGTGTTTTTATATTTAACGTGTGAGATATTTACAAACTYGGATCTGTGTACCTTTGACTTCACTGACATCACTGAGAAAATGGTCAGACAATAATTACATCGCAGGCCTCCTGAATCCACCTATCATGTATTCCTGCTCCCTCCGTTGAACCYGAATCTGACCAATCCCTGATGTAACTGGCAATATAAGAAATATCATTATACATCACCATGGGGTAGGAGGATACGCAAAATGGAGATCCGGAAGTCTATAGTCAAGGAAACTATTTTAAACGGTGGTGGAGAGGTAGGTGCTGTTCCCACCTCTGTGGGATGGCCACACACTTAATCTCATGATAAATGTCCACCCTTTTCTAGGCTTTGGATCTGCTGATTTCCTGTCCAAGCCCAGGTAATTCTGAAGTCAGTTCTGGGTCAGCTAAGGCCCCCTCCCCCAGCCCACTCCTGCTCCTGCACCACAGCAGCACAGCAGCAAGGACGCATCTGCTTTGCTCTTGAGGCGCCAGCTACTCAGGGACCAGAACCGCATTACCCAGGGCGTCGTCGTCATCGGTGGTGTCTCCCGCCAGGCGGAACAGCGTGGGCCGCAGCTTCTCACACCTTTCATACACAACCTGGGGAAAGAGCACGGTTCACACCCACACCTGGGCCCCCACAGGCCCCAGCTGCGCCATTCAAGTGGGGAGCAGAGTCTGGGCTGCAGGAGGGCCCCTCAGYTTGCCCCAGACTCATGACTGACAGCAGTCAGTTTCAGAAAAAGTTTGGACTGTAAATATATGATTTTTTAAAAAATAAAAGTGTAAAGTCCTGAGCTCAGAAAAGAACCCACTGTCTCTGGGGGCACAGTGTCCCCTCCTCCTCAGGCCCGCTGGAACAGCTCAATGGATGACTCCCTGCTTGACCGCTAGAGTCTGAACTTCCCACCCCAACTGCTGTCTGATGCCCTGATCCCTTCAACAAAACTACCATCATGCCGCCCACAGGGCTCACTCCCGTCTCAGCTGTAAGTCCCGTTCTCATCCTGGGGACARCCCACTCTCACACTGCTAAGCACATATAGCTCTGTGCAGCTTAGATTTCCATTTTTTTCTCTCCCGCAGTCCTGGGGATGGGGCCCAGGGCCTCACATGTGCTAGGCAGGTGCTCTACCACTGAGCTACAACCTCAGCCCTAGATTTCCCTCCTTGAAGGGGGCTGCACCATCTGACACTCCAGGCCTCCCTGACAGCTGACTGCCTCTCTCCCATTTCTGCTGCGTGAAGAAGAACAGCTGTGCTATTTTTTTTTGAGAGGGGGGGGGGAATTTTAATATTTATTTTTTAGTTCTCGGTGGATACAGCATCTTTGTTTTGTATGTGGTGCTGAGGATCGAACCCGGGCCGCACGCATGCCAGGCGAGCGCGCTACCGCTTGAGCCACATCCCCAGCCCAGCTGTGCTGTTTAAAAGTCCAACACGCTGACCTTCCTGAAGGACCCTGGTGCAACCTCACTGTGGGAAGAGATGGGCTTTGGAGCGTCTGCCTAGCTCAAGTCCAGCACCCTTCAAAGTTCTTTCCTACCACCCACCAAGGAAGGCTGGCATGATGTTCTCCCTAACGCCGCYCAGTCCCAGTCCCAGGCAAGTCAGCCAGGGCAGATACACACAGCAAGCTGGCCAAATGGATTTTACTCTCAGGAATTTGGGATTGGGAAAGACTCTAGTTTGTTTCTGCTAGTCTTCTGAAGTAGAAGGACGGGTAACAAAGGAGCTATGTGAAGGCCATCTTTCTTTCCTCTGCAGAGAAACAGAAAGCTGGACCGCTGAGGGAAGGCTGAGGGAGGCCTGCAGGGGGAGGCAGAGAGCCGAGGGTAAGAGAGACGCGAACAGCAGCTTCAGGCAGTGCTGCAGCGCCCCACTGCCCACCAGAGGCCAGGGGAGATTCCTCCACAGGACAACAAAAGCACCAGCAACAAAAGCAAAAAATAAAGTGAACTTCTCTGAACTTAAAAAATTTTTGTGGTCCAAAAGATGCTATCAAGCCACTGGAGTAGCAACCCAGAATGGAAGCAAACTGTCTGATAGGAACTTGTATCCAGAATATATAAAGAACTCATATCACTTAAATAACCCAATTAAATGATTAAATGATAGGCAAAGGCTGGGCACAGTGGCACAAGCCTGTAATCCCAGCGGTTCAGGAGACTGAAGCAGGAGGATCGCGAGTTCAAAGCGAGCCTCAGCAATAGCAAGGCACTAAGCAGCTCAGTAAGACCCTGTCTCTAAATAAAAATAGGGCTGGGTTGTGGCTCAGGGGTTGATTGCCCCTGAGTTTAATCCCCAGTAGCAAAAAAAAAAAAAAAATGTAGGCAAAGGATTTGAACAGACTTTCTCCAAAGAAGATATTTAAGCGGTCGAAAAGCACATTAAAGAATGCTTGACATAGGCTGGGGATAGAGCTCAGTTGGCAGAGTGCTTGCCTTGCATGCAGAAGGACCTGGGTTCAATCCCCAGCACCACAAAAAAAAAGGAGAAGAATGTTTGACATAGCCATCAGCAAAATAAGGTCACAGTGAGCCTCTAATTCACACCTAGGACAGCTGTCATCAACAAGATAACAAGTGTTGGCAGGATGTGGAGAACTGAGACCCTTATAATTGTGTGTGAGATTGTAAAATGGTGCTACGTTGAAAACAGTTTGGCAGTTTCTCAAAATGTCAAACAGAGTTAGCATAAGATCCAGCCATTCCAATCCTCGGTATATCCCAAAAGAATTTAAAATAAATACAGGGTACTGGGTTTCTTTTAGGGCTGATTAAGATGTTTTAAATTAGATAATAGTRATGACTGTTTTTATGATATGTTAATTATCTCAAGGGTGTTATCAAAAAGAAAGATTGCTCTCAGAGTATGTAAGATATAAATAAACTAAATTGTGATATATGGCTGTTAGGAATGGAAAATGGGCAAATACTAAGGAAAATAGTTTGGCAGTTTCTTGAAAATTAACCACACACTTAGAATATGACCTAGCAATCCCACACCTAGGCATTTACCCAAGAGAAGACACATGAAGATACATGTTCACACAAAATGTTTATAGCAGCCTGTATCACTCAAAGCCCTAAACAACCCAAATAATCAACAGATGGACAGAGCAAGCTACATCCATGCAACAGACTAGCCTAGCCATGGAGGGAAGTGGTGCTACCCAGGGCAACAGGAGCAGGTCTCAATGGGAGCGCCCAGTGAGAGCCAGGTGAGAACTCAGGACGCACTGTTATCAGTCCACTCACACCTACCAGAGCCAAAAGGGAAGCCTGCTGATGGGGGTGGGGGTGGGGAAGAGAGGAGGGAGGGGATGACAGCCACACTTATTATCTTGATGAAGATGATGGCTTCGTGGACCTACAGACACACTTTCACACACAGGGAGGTTTCCAAGTCGGAGCAGCAGGTCACCTGCAGGGCCTCCTGGTCCGGCGGGGCCTGCCCTGGCCTGCGGTACGTGCTCAGCATCTCCTGCAACACCTTCACGTGGCTTCGCACTTCCTCCACCGCGCTGACTCTTCTGGACACCTTCTCTGATTTTTCTTGTTCCTTTTGGGATAAAAAGGACAGAGTAAGAGAGCAGAAGCCCTGGATGCAGCCTGAACAGAGAAGGGAAGGGGTACCGTACTGCTGGGGCTCAGGGCTCAACACTAGGTAAGTGGGGCGCTCACCTAGCAGGTGGGAAAATACTCAGAGCCAGAATTCCTGGGGCAACAGCACAGGGTGGGGGCCTGGTGACCTCCTTTGTGCTGCCAGCCTCCATCGTGTTGGAAAAAGAAAACTCCCAAACCTGGACTCTGTCCACACCAGTATGCCTGTCACTGGCACAGAGCCACATCTACAAAACGCTCTGAGCACCGCAGGCAGAGGAGCTGGGAARCACAAGAGCACAGGGCTGCTCCCCRGCACCAGCCCGCTGCCCCTCAGGGCGCTCAGGGCTTGCCCGTCCACGCCCTCCAGCACACGGCTCACACTGACCATCAGCTCACACGCTGCTGACACAGAACCAACTGAAAAGCGCCCACCTCCTTGACCAGATTCTTGATGAGCCGGTTTGCTGCCTGGAGATCCTCAGGGTGGTTGCTCTTGAGAAGTCTCGTCAGAAGCTGAAGAATGTGGTCAAGAGGAGTGGGTGACACTGTTAATTCCCTCTGTCCCAGAGCCAAAGTGGCAGCAACAGAAGCCTTCATACCAACAGCAGCCCCCACATTACGTGCATTATTTTACCACGTCGTCAGTGATGCTGTGACGGAGACTGTGGCCGTCCTAATAACAGACTGCTGGTTTTCATGGGTGGGGGATGGGAGGATTATGTCCCCTAGCAGATATCTCGCCAAGTCTGGAGCTATTTTTGGTTGTCACAACAAAGAGAAGGTACTTCTGGCAAGCAGCAGAGGCCAGGGGGGCTGTGCTATCCACCAGTGCCCAGGGCAGCCCCCCCAGAGCACTACTGGGCTCAGAGGTCAAGCGTGCCGAGGGCACTGGGACCATGTGCTCCGCGACGGGGCTGACCCTCCACCACAGACGGCTGGAAGAGGGGACCTGCTCTGCTGGGACACTGGGCCCTGCCTCTCTTTGACATCACGTTGCCCCCTGGGTCTCGGCCTGGGATTTGATCACCTTCCTCCCCCTTCCCTTTCTGATGGGGGAGGCCACAATGGAAGGACAACGGTGAGCGCTGTGGGCGGAGCGTCAGGCCTACTGGCACTGAAAATGATGTCCACTGACATTGACCCTTTTCTCTCCCTGACCCTAACCCTAACCCTATACCACACATGTGGACCCCACACCCCACAGTCCCCTGGGTTACCCTTGGCACCTTTCTTCCCCCCAAGGTCAGGGGTATGGCATCAAAGTGTGGCATTTATTATCTGGCCCATCCACAAACACACGTGGACCTTCTGCTACCTCATGCCTAAGAGCCTGGAAAGAGATGGAACTCACCACCCTACCTGCCCACACTCTGTTCAAAGATCAGAGGACATTTCAAGAAAAGGGCCCAAGACAAGCAGCCCAGTCGGACTCCGTGAGAGCCGCTGAGGCCGGGGAGGCGTTCCTTACCTTGGACTTCTCTTCGTCAGCATCGAAGATGGAGCTCTTGGGCCAGGGAGAAGGTGGGGGCAAGATTTTGTCCACTGGTAGCTTAGGGTCTTGTTTTATGATTCCTGAAATATGCATTTCACAAGGTTAAGATATAGATATGGGTATGCGGGGACTTTAATGGGGTCCRGAAGCCCTTAGTTCCTGATACTAGGAAAATGTCAACATCCTTGAAAAGCCACACCCGGGGGTGACAGAGGTTGTGCATCATCTCACTGAGCATCCAAGGAGCCACCATGACCAGCTGTGTCAGAGCACAGCCAGCTTCAGCCCGCCTCCGTGGGCTTTAGGCTACAAAAATAATGACCACTGACCACCACCGTAGAACCTCCCAGGGCCCAGAAATGACAGCAGCATCCCCGGTGAAGCTCTTAAAAGTGCTACATGAGTGCATGTTAGGGAAAAATTACCCATCCTGAACCCAGTTCCTTCTTCTAAGAAGCCCAACGTAAAAGGAAGTCAGATTCCCAGCTTCCTGTCGGGACACACGAAAGTGGGAACATGTAACTAACCGCCACCCCAACAGCAATAACAAAATCCTAGACACCTGCGATCTAACGCCTTTTCTCCAACCCATGAGACAGCTGAGATCACAGGACTACAACCAAATTAACCTGGAACCTAAGGTGAGGCAGAGCCCCCGGGAGCCGAGGAGGCAGCAATGGTGAGATAAGTTGCCCCTCTGCTCACAGGCCAGCGCAGGACTCCTGGGGTTACAAAACAAAGACACAAGCTCTTCTCCAGGGGCTCGAAAAGGAAGCTAGGAAGGCCAGACATTCCACTGAATCCTTTTCCATGGCTCCATGGAAGCAAAGCTTTTAAACTGCTGGGAGAAGGGTGACCACCTGCAGCCCTGGGAGCACTGGAGGGACCTGCTGCAGCTAGAAAAAGAACAAGGAAAAACAACCCTGTTCCCTGGGGCAGGAGCAGGATTCATGCCAGGATCTGTTCCCTGGGGCAGGWGCAGGATTCATGCCAGGATCACGGACAGATCATACCAACACCCAGGAACACAGTGCCTGCCCAACAGAGCTTAACTGGAATAGATCCTGCCCCTGCCCCCCACCCTCACCCTCCTCTAACGAGTAACAGCTGCCTACCATAAGGCACACACATGCAAGCACACAAAGGAAGCCGGGTGCAGTGGCACACACTTGTAATCCCAGCCACTCGTGAGACCGTGGCAAGAGGATTGCAAATTTGAGGCCAGCCTCAGCAATTTAGCAAGACCTTGTCTTAAAACATAAAAGTTGCTAGAGATATAGCTCAATGATAAAGCACCTCTGGGTTTAATCCCCAGTACCTTCCTGCAACCCCTCCTGCCCCCCCCCCAAAAAAAAGAACATGGAGGAAGGCTCTCTTTAAGATACAGAGCAAAAGCTGGGTGCAGTGGTACATGCCTGTAATCCCAGTGAGGAGGCTGAGGCAGGAGGATTGTGAATTCAAAAACAGCCTCAGCAACTTAGCAAGAGCCTATCTCAAAATAAAATATAAAAAGGGCTGGGGATGTGGCTCAGTAGTTAAGCGCCGTAGGTTCAATCCTTGGTACCCCCCCCCCAAAAAAAAAGAAGAAAAAGAAAGAAAACAAAACAACAGAGCAAAGGGAAGGCAGAACAGAGACTGAGAAAACTCCAGCAAGTCAGCCCCCAACCTAAACACAGGCTATTAGGGCACGACAAATCTCAAGCCTGGCGTAACTGCAGCCCCTCAGGAGGAAAGGTCCACCCATTTCCAGGGATAAAGACATTGACCTCGGTTTCCATCATCTATCAGARTGTTCACCTTTGACAAATTACAAGGTACATAAAAAAGCAGAAAGAGCACACCACCGCGAGGGGACACTGCGTTAGCCACGGGGCCACACCTTGCTTCTTCAGCATCTGATAAGCATCTCGGATCTTGATGTCTTCTGGAAACCACACTGTCCAACTAAAGAGGATCTCGATGACTCTCCCTTTAACTTTTTCTGTGGCCCAGGCCCCTAAGTACTGAGAGTAAAAAGAGAAAGAATTAGAGACTTGAAAGGGACTTGTCCCTTAGGAGACCATCTGGCTGACACCCCCAAAGAGGCACAACGAGAGCCCAATTACCTGGCCAAAGCCCCTTCTGTCTCCAGAACGCTAAAATTAAAGCCCACTGTACATGGGCCAGAGTCAGAGCCTTGTCCACAACACTGGGGACATTCATGTTTTTACTAAGGCAGGGGCAGACTTTAAAAACAAAAGTGGGAAAGCGCTTGCCTCGCACTGGGTTCGATCCTCACCACCACATAACAAAATAAAGTTATTAAAAATAAAGTCTTTTTAAAGATTGATCTTTTCCCACTTCTTGGCAAAGAAAGCTGGGCATGGTGGCACACATCTGTAACTTGGTAGGCTAAGTCAAGAGGACGGCCAATCTGGGTGGGGAATGTAGCTCAGTAGTTCAGAGCCTGCTTCCCATGCCCAAACCCCTGGGCTCGATCCCCAGTACCACACACACACACACACACACACACACACACACACACACACACAACAGAGAGTTTCCTGAGTGATAAGGGTGTCTTGTTAGTCACAGGAAGCCCACTTGGACCACACCTGGTTCACAGCAAGAAAGGGGTCAACCAACGTTGGTTACTGAGAGTGGATCACTAACTCAGGTGCCAGTAGGAAAGAAGCAAAGGACCAGGCAAGAGGTGGTGTGAAACTCAGAGTCACACCTGGTCACCTCCCAGCACCAGGAACCCTGTGCCTCGGAGCTCAAGCTCCTCTTGTCCACACCCCCCCCAAATACTGWGCCATTTCAAAGAGCGGGAGGTCAGCTGGAGGGGTGCTGGCCAGCGGATAAGCACCCCACCTTCCCAGGGCATGGGGAGGAGACCACGTCCGCAGCAGGACCTGTTCTCGACAGCTGAGACAGGCAGGCAGGGCTTGTCCAGGTGTGGCCTGCCATGGCCTAGGGAAGCCTTTGAGTAGGATAGAGTCACGGCAGGAGTCAGAAGGTTGGGTGCAGTGGGCAGGACCAAGTCCAGTTACTCACTTTGGGAGACAACACTTTGATCAGCTCATTCAGGAAGCGGAACTTGGCCACCTCATTGTGGAACTTCTCACCACAGTGGTTCATACATGTCTCCAGGACCTGTGCAGGCAGAGGACGTCCATGAGAAGGAAAGCCAGTGGCTTCTCACCTTGAAACTGAGAGCACCTGCTAGTGACTAGTGAGACCAAAGCTAACCCCTCCTGCAGCCTACAGGGACCCTGAAGTTTTGGGAAAAGGAAACACTTTCAGATCAAGGRAAAAAAAAATGTTACCTGTTCAACATGCTATGTTCATGCCCAGGCAGTACCTCAGTGGGGTGTGTGTGTACCCCGAGGTCACCCCTCCTGTTTGGGACCCTATGGGCAGGTGAAAATGGCCTGAGAATCACTCACTCCCTGGAGGAAGAAATCGGGCATGCAGTGCCCAAGAACTGTGCCACCAGAGGTCACCTGGCGGCTCTCCAGAGGCAAGCTTGGCCCACACATATCACCTGCAGTCCACACTGGTTTTTCAATGTCAAGTCAGTTACCCACTTTTTTTTTTTTTTTTTAAGTTAAAGATCTTAACTGGCTTTATTTTCAATTCTAGAACTGGGCAATACTTCATTCCATAAAAAAGAGTGAGTGTCCCCCAACATTTAAACATTCAGAGAACTCACATAAAAATCTGGACTTCTAGTTTCTCTTAAAGAAAACAAAAGTTCTAAGAAAACTGGGCCCCAACTCAGGCCTGGAACGAGCCAGCAGGTCCTCGGCGAAGCTGCCTCTGCAGACAGGGCACATGCTTGCACCCGCGGCTTCACTCATTTACATTCCCAGTCTGGCCCTTGGGCACTGGATCTTGCCAGCCTCACTCTGAGAAGAACTTCCTTTCCTCCTCCTAAAGCGGCTGGGCRCTGCTCTACACGGACAGATCTGGCTGGGCAACTTGGCTCAGAACTCCCTCCAGCCTGCTGTTCAAAGACTGCGAAGGACAACCTCTCAGATGTCCCACCTCAGTGAAAAGGCCTGGGTAGAGACAAAGTCCCCCTCAGTCGAACCCAGGAGCACTCTACTGATAGACCCAACCTGATCTTTTCTTAAAATTGGGAGCCATCTCGCCACAAAGCCATGAAAACATAATTTGGGCTTTACTATAAATTACTGCAAATTCTGAACCTGCTTGGAATGCCGGCCCGTGCCTTGAACTCACCCATGCCTGGCTCTCTGACCAGATAGCAGCCCTCTCTGAAACTTTAGTGACGCCTCACAAATCTTGGCCTTCCCTGGCCAGATAACGACCCTCTCTAATGACCTTCATAAATTTTGATGTCGGGGCCAGCAAAAATGTAAACTACCATTAGTGTGATGCTCGTCAGAGTTCTGTTATCTGTAACCCCCCTTTGGTAACTTTCTGGGCTATAAAGCTGGGCTGCAGGAAAGCTGGGSTGCTGTCTTGTTCCTGTGGTTTTGAGTGGGAGAGGCAGCCCGGCCAGTCGAAATAATAAGCTTGCTTTAATTTGATTTTAATTGGAGTCAGTGGTCTTTTCTTGCGTGCTGGTCTAACATCTACCTCTGAGCGACCAAACTCACCGTCAGGGCATAAAGTGCTTCCTTCTCTTGTGGAGACTGGATCTTGTGGGCCAGGAGCCAGGGCGCATGTGTGGGGCTGAAGGAAAACAAACAGATCCGAACTGTGGGTGGGGAGGAAAAAACTAACTGGTCTCGCTGAGTGTGCTTGATAAAGTCACCTGTCTTCCAAGAGCTGGTGACGGAAAGCAGAGGTGGAATGTGACTGGCACCCAGTCCGGGGCACCCACCCCCACCCACCCTTGCTGCACCTGCAGCACTTGAGCTACTACTCCTCTGCCCAGGCCACATCTTCCTGCCCTTGGCCATCCCACCCCAGCCATCAGTCCCAAGAGACAACTCTTAGTGGAGCAGCAGGGGCCCAGACCCACATGCAGCCATGTCTGAGACACACAGAACCCATCTGTCCGAGCTAACTGCCCACTGAAGACTGGGGCAGGAAGCGGACAAGGCACCGCTCTCTCCGACTGAGTAACTGGCACCATGGAAGTTAAATATGAACATCAACCACTTGGTTCTTCAGCTGCTATCCAGGGGTTTGGGAAAAAGAATTTGATAAAACCGTACCCTGGGCTGGGGGTGTGGCCCAGTGACAGAGTGCATGCTAAGGCCCTAGGCTGAATCACCAGCACCCCAAAATTAAAAACCTAGCCAGCTGCAGTGGGGCACACCTGCAGTCCCAGCCACTTTGGAGTCAACTGAGGTGGGAGATCACTTGACCCCAGAAATTTGAGACCAGCCTGTGCTACAAAGGGAGACCCTCTCAAAAACAAAAACMAAAACAAATAAACCAACAAAACCCAGCCAGGCCCAGTGGTACCCGCCTGGGATCCAGCTACTTGGAAGGCTAAGGCAGAATGAACCAGCTCCAGGTCAGCCTGGCAACTGTTACAGGCCTGAAAAGATAAACTTTCTTGATTTACTCATTGATTTATTCATTTCAGTCCTGGGGATCGAACCCAGGAGCACTCTACCTCTGAGCTACATCCCCAGGCCTTTTTAATTATTTTGAGACAGGGTCTCACTAAGTTGCTGAAGGTCTTGCAGTTGCCTGGGCTGGCCTCAAACTTGCAATCCTCCTGCCTCAGTTGCCCAAGTCACTGGGATTACAGGCGTGCGCCACTGTGCCAGTTCAAAATAAAATTTAAAAAGAAGAGCTGAGGATGTGGCTCAGGTCTAGTGTCCCTGGATTTAGTCACCAGCACTGCAAACAACAAACCCTCATGAATTTACTAATTTTAGAAAAAGAGATGGGGGGGGGCGGGGAGAAAGATAGAAATCCTTCCTAACTGTGTAACAGCCATCAGTCCCAAGAGACAAGGGCCTGTGCTCAGTCTGGGGTCCCCACAGAGTCAAGTGTTACGTGAAGTCACCTTACCCATTGGGGTCAGTGTTCACCTGCTCACAGAAGTTCTGGATAGCCGACCAATCCTGTTCTGACACGCTTGGGTCTGTGGCTTTGTCTGCCAAGAAAATAAATGCTAAAGTTAAAGACCGCATCATAAAAAGGTTACACCCCCTTCCCCAGATACAGGGAGTCAAGGGCTGTGACATCACACCATCAGATCAGACTGTGCACTGCAGAGAGCGCTGGGGATCACGCCTGTGTTGTTAACGCTGTCAAGGGCCATGTCTGCACATATCATGCCCTTCCTGAATGTTTGCTGGGTAAATAAATGAGCAAATTAATTAACCAGGACACTGAAAGCGACTCCATTTTTGGGGCGCAGAGGCCCTCTGTCAGGACTACCCCATGCTGGCTCTGCAATGTGGTGGCACAGGGGTCCCTGCATGTGGGAGGCCACCTGTAAGTTTCCTAGCTATGTGACAGGAAGACAAGAACCTGCCACAGGAAGGTGGTCTTGGTTCTGACCCCCCACAGGCCATGCTGGGGGCTGGGGCTGGGGCTGGGGCTCAGCGGTAGAACGCTCACCTAGCACATGCGGGGCGCCGGGTTTGATCCTCAGCACCGCATAAAAAATAAATAAAATGAAGGTATTGTGTTCAACTACAACTAAAAAAATAAATATAGCTACATACATGAAAAAAAAAAAAAAAGAAAGAAAAAGAGCCATGCTGGTCCTGATGGAGCAGCTCTTTCAGGCTCTGGAATAAGAGGTCAGTCTCAGGGTATTTTGGTGCTATCATTCCTCTCGTCCAAGTGTCCACTCCACTCCTCTCAAACTCCTATCCATTCTTCAAGACGCATTTGAATTTCCGTCTTCTCTAGAAACCTCCTCTCTTGATCCAACCCACTAATTTTCTTCCCTTCTGATTACTTAGGGCTCCATCCTCCACCCAGAATCAACTGTTCCCTGTACAGTCACACTACGTCATGTGGAAGTCATGTGTCTTGGCCATGAGATTCAAAGGACACACCCACTGTAAATGCCAGGAGAACACGACAAAGGAGTGCAAGGCAATCACAGGATCAGTTCTGTACTCCCAGGCCCCACTCAAAGTTCTCTCCAGGTGCTCCAACACTAAGTACCCTAGCACCCTATCCACCATTCAGGTCCCAATTCGTTAAATGCTTCCCCTTTCATAAAAGCTTGCTTGATTTTTCTTTTTCTTTTTTGAAGACAGGGTCTTAAAGCCTCATTAAGTTGCTAAGGATGGCCTTGAACTTGTGAACATTCAGTCTTATCACCCCAGTTGCTGGGATTACAGGCCTGCACCAGAGTACTGGGCTTCTTGGATCTTTTTAATGCCCACCCCTACAAAACAGAAGCCCTCTCTTCTTCCTCAGAATTCTGGTCTTTTACCTTTCCTCACTGCATTTAGGTGGAGATCGCTAATTCTAGGGGGTCTCAGTAGGAAGACAGTATCTTCCTCGTAGGATTGTCATATGATTTAAAGTGGACAGCATCTAAAGTGTTCAGCACAGTTGGGCACGGTGGCAAATGCTGGTAATCCCAGCAATTTGGGAGGCTGAGGCTGGAGGATTGCAAATTCAGCAATTTAGGAAGACCCTAAGCAACTTAGCAAGGCCTTATCTCAAAATAAAAAGGACTGGGGATGCAGCTCAGTGGTAGCGCACCCCCCCTCCTTCAATTCCTAGTACAAAAATAAAGTACTCAGAACAGTAGCACAAAGTAATCAATAAAGAATCAATAAAGGTCAGCTCCTGTTACTCATTATGTTAATAGTCTCTGCCTTTTCCTGCAAAAATACATATAAATGCCCTTCTCTACCTAAGGGGAATAAACCCCTGAAGGCAGAAGCCCTGCATGCCCTGCAGTGCTCGGCACAATGCTGCACACAGGGACCAAATGCAGCTGCTCCCTGACTGTTGGTGAGGTGACTTAAGGTGACTTATCCAAATAAACGCCAAATTGCAAGTTGTACTTCCTGTTGATACTCAAATAAATTAAATAAAGCAATGATTTTCAGACTCTAGTCTCAATCACCTCAAAATAATCCTACATCAGTTAAGCTTCGATTTCAGTCCATTATAAGGTCAAGGTGGACACCTCAAAGGTATTCTGACCCCTACAGGTGACTGTACATAGAGGCACAATCCAGCCTTGCCCCTCCTCCCTGGCTGCCAGAGGAAAGAGACAGCATGGCTGGCACTAGCGTTTCAAAGAAAGGGAGAAACCACCATGGAGTTTATTCACCTCCAAACCCTTGACCAAGTTAAAGCAGCCAAGAGGTCTATAAAATGTAAGTTAGATTCTATTTTATTTGCTAGATCTTATGAGGATTTCCTCAGAGTTTATCATCATGGCCCAGAAGTAAGAGAAATAGTAATAGCTGCCATTTTATTTCTATTATTTTTTTCATTTCTTTCTCTAGCTGAGATTTGGGCCAGGCAACAGGCCAAGTATCCTCGGAACAACTGAGGTTCGCACCATTATCTCACATTTAYAGATGTGGCCCAGCCACAGAGCAAGAGAATGGCAGAAGTGGAAGTCCAGTCCCACATCTGCCTGGCTCCAAGTCCCTAAGGTACCGACCGCTCTCAGTATTCTTCAGTTCCTTGACAAATGCAGGGTGGGCCTCTCTAGGGAAGGAAGTGAACAGTCTCAAGGCAGGAAGGAGGTCTGTCTCACTTACCTGCCACAGAACATCACTAGCCCAGATATCTACTGAATGAACGAGGGCTCTGTCTTTTGCTGTGCAGTATTTGACTGGCTGGCTGGACATACTGCCACTGTCAGGAGATGACGATTACAATTCCAAAATAACTGGGTCTCTGAACACATAATCCCCACCTGCCAAAGCTATTTCAGAGGCCTCGAGCAGCTCCAGAGAAAATGACCCTCAGAAGACCAGCAGCTGGGTCTAGACAGGCCACAGCAACTGCCCAGGTCTGTCTGACACCAATCCGGTCCAAAGAACAGCTAGGTGCCAGAAAGGCATGTCCAGGGAGAACTTAAAGGATTCCTTCTCTGTTCTATAATTATCAAGGCATTGAGATGGCTACTCCAGACTCCACCAGGTGGTTTACCCAGCTGAAACGTGGGTGAGACAAATGAGTGCCARGAAATACTCTGTTCCCATTTATTTGCTTAATAAAATAAGTATTTGGCCAGGCTCAGTGGCACACAGTTGTAACCCCAACAACTTGGGAGGCTGAGGCAGGAGGATCTCAAGTTYAAGGCCAGCCTCAGCAACTTACTATTTTTTTTTTTTTTAAGATTTTTAGAACCTGCCTCAAAGTCAAACAAACAACAGGGCTAAGAATGTCACTCAGTGGTAAACTACCCTTGAATTTGATTTCCAGCCCCCCAAAATAAAATAAAATAAAAGCAGTGTTTACATGATTGATTTCAAGCCTGCTCCAGGATCAGAGGTCTTAAGAAAACAGCTGAGCTTCCAGCTGTGTGTGAAATGTCTTATTGGAGAAAGACTAATTCAAAAGTCCAATCATCTTACACCAGCTGTCAACCAACCCCGGGGTCACAACTCCACACTAGCAGCAGCATGTACTAGCAAGGGGAGGCTTGGGGGAGAGGAAGGGAGGCAGTCACCTTTAGCAACAGAATTCAATCCTTCAGCAGTGTGCACTGCACAGGGAGTCCCTCCCCAGGGGCACACATGGACTGGACATCCTGGAAGTCACTTTATTCAGCACACATGAAAACCTGCCAAGACCCACCATGAAAATGTTCTAAGCTGGACTCCCAACAGAGAAGGATGAGCTCAGCCCTGGAAAACCTCAGACTATAAATAGATTGCAATCCAGAYCTCTCCAGAGCCCCAAGGGAGGAATAAAAGTGGGGCTGGAAGAAAGGATACATCACCTGGGAGTAGATCCAGGCAGAAGGAAGAACAGGATTTACCAAACACTCAATTTTTACTAGGCTACTGCTTTCCTGGCACCTCGGCCAGAGCTCGAATCCAGATTCAGAGACCAAGAGGACCAAGTGTTCATAAAAATAGCACAGGACTGGCAACCCCGGGGATTCCACCAACAGAACTGGTTAAATGGACTACAGTACAAAGACACAATGGGCATGTAAAACTTCCTTAAAAGGAGTAAGGTGGGCTGGGGCTCAGGGGCAGAGCGCTTGCCTAGCATATGTGAGGCACTGGGTTCGATCCTTCACACTGCATTAAAAAATAAACAAAATAAATGCATGYTGTCCAACTACAAAAATAAAAATTTTAAAAAAGAGTAAGGCAGCTAGCTGTACATGAAGTCACGTGAACAATGATCAAAATACACYATGTGTGGGGGGCGTAGCTGCAGAACAGAATGCACAGGAGCTGCCATTTGTATTTTAAAGCATGAGTCTCTGACAGCTTCCTGATCCTCTGGGAACTATCCCTTCTCAATTCTAGGGCCAAGCCCAGCTGGGTCTGATGATGGCCTTCCCCATCTTCATTTCTAGGGATGGCCACCACCCCGCCCAGGTCCAGCAATCTTCATATTTCACTCCCACCCCCATCCAGATTCCAAAATGAACATAAGACCCAAGCTGGATCAACAAACAGAATGATAACTTTCTCAAATCAATAGGAAAAATTAATTATTTCTGTTGGGAGTGCAGCAGAAGACAAAGCAAAGTAGAGAAAATTCACATGAAGAAATGGGGCTGCTGGCGGAGCATGGGGGTGCACGCCTGTAATCCCCGAGGTTTGGGAGGCTGAGGCAGGAGGATCGGGAGTTCAAAGCCAGCCTCAGCAAAAGGGAGATACTAAGCAACTCAGTGAGACCCTGTCTCTAAATAAAATACAAAATAGGGCTGAGGATGTGGCTCAGTGGCCGAGTGCCCCTGAGCTCAATCCCTGATACCAAAAAAAAAAGAAAAAACAACCGAAGCTGAGCCGGCCCCTCCTGGGCCCTTGTCTGTGGTAAGCTACTTTACTGGCACCACTGCACTCTATAGTAAGGCAGTATTTAAGTGCTTTATCTATATTAAGGCCTTTCTTTGATCCCCCCAACAATCCTAAAGGGAGGTATTAATGCTGCCCCCATCTTAAAGATACGGTTGCTGTTCTTGCTCAGGCAAGAGCTGTCAATGACCCACCTAGAGCTGCGTCCTTCTCCATCCAGCTCAGACCCACCACGCCTCCCTTTAGCTCCCCTCCTGCCCTGGCGGACCATGAGCCTCTACTGTCCCCCCATCCCACCACCAGTACCCCTCCCTCAACAGTTAGRGTTGAAACTGTAGTTTTCTTTCTCTGCTCCCACACCCAGAACAAAAGGAAAACACGACCCCCAACACCCAGCCACCAAGACGACAGCACAGGTTTCTGATGTCCCATCTCAAGAGGGAGAAGGGTAGGTCGCCCGCTCTACCCCACCCTTCCTCAACCCCCTGCTCCAGGGAAATCTGGCAATGTCCGGAGATATTTGGGGTCATCAGAACTGGAAAGGGCAAGTGTGTTACTGCTATCTAGCGGGCTAAAGCCAGGGCTGCAGCTAAACATCCTTATCCCAGGACAGTCCACTACCACACAGAATCACCAGGCCCCACATGTCAAGGGCACAGAGAGAACAGCTCTGACCTCAGGTGTCCAGGTGGGCTCCCTTTCACTTCTTCTTCTTTGTTTGGTACCGGGGATTGAACCCACAGGTGCTTAACCACTGAACCACATCTCCAGCCCTTTTTGTATTTTATTTTGAGACAGGGTCTTGCTGAGTTGCTTAGGGCCTTGCTACGGTGCTGAGGTTGGCTTTGAACTCGTGATCCTCCTGCCTCAGCCTCCTGAGCCGCTGTCCCTTTGCTTCTCTTACTAGTCATTCCCGACCTTCCCTAGACCTTCCCTACTTTCCTCACATCCCCTCCTGGCTCAGCCCCTGACACTTCACRTGGTATAGCAATGACAAACTAGTTCACATGTGCAATCATCTTTATCTCCTTCCCCAGACACTCAGAAACAAAAGCTGCCCTTCCTCCCTGTGGAGCCAAGTCACCCTTTCCTGCTCTGACTCTAACCTCCTTCCTGTCACCCCTTCCTTGCAATCCTCCTGCCACAGCCTCCTGAGCCACTGGGATTACARGAGAGTTGCCGGGACAGGTGGCAAGTGCCACCACGCCTGGCTCCTTTACTCCTGCTAGCTASCCCTCTCTGTCCTTCCTTTCACATATAAACACCATAAAAAAAGGCCATCTGAGCTGGGCACAGCAGCTTACACCTCTAATCCCAGCAGACTGGGAGGCTGAGGCAGGAGGATCCCAAGTTCAAAGCCAGCCTCAGCAATTTAGCAAGGCCCAAAAGAATTTAGCAAGACCCTGTCTCTTAAAAAAA